GCACAATTCACAGTGAGGGGCAGTACAGTGCACGATGGAGATGCGCTGCTTGCACAAGCAGAGCGGGGCCTTGCACCGGAAGATGTGCTGAACTTGCAGTTCACATCCGGTCGGTAAATCGGTTGTCCAACTCCATGAATCATTTCTGACCCTGTCCCAGGTACGACAGGCTCCCCAAAAGCCGCTATGTTAACCAATATGTACGTCTGACATAGTGGTACTACTACAACGACAGCTAATATCCCCGCAGCAACATCATCAACAATGCACGTTTCGTCGGCAACGCCATGCGCCTCACACCGGAGGATGTCATCTGTTGTGGCCCGCCTTTATTCCACTGTTTTGGCCTTGTAATGGGTCTGCTAGCCTCGTTCTGCTACGGAAGCTCTATCCTCTTCCCTTCCGATCATTTCCGCGCCAGCAGCATTGTGGATGCCGTCATGACCGAGGATGCCACGGTAATCCTAGGAGTGCCTACCATGTTTGTAGCTGAATTGGAGGTCATTGCAAAAACAGGACAGCGACCACGACGCCTCAGGACCGGGCTCGCATCGGGATCAGCAGTGTCCCAGAACCTGATGCACCAGCTGCGTGAGCTTATGGGGTGCGATAAGATGCTGATTGCCTATGGAATGACAGAGACAAGCCCGGTGAATTTTATTACGTCGTTGGATGACCCGGAGGACAAGCGGACGGCCACTATTGGGAGGGTGATGCCTCATACCGCGGTGAAAGTAATTGACCAGAACGGCAGGATTGTGCCCCGGGGTCAAAGAGGTGAGCTGTGCATCAGCGGCTACGCGTTGCAGAAAGGATATTTTCGAAATGAGGAAAAGACGAGGGAGGTGATGAGGAGGGATGAAAATGGGGTGCTCTGGATGCACACCGGGGACGAAGTCATGCTGGATGAGCAAGGATACGGACATATCACCGGTCGTATCAAGGACATTATCATCCGAGGTGAGTGATTCAGTTACGAGAGGCCTAAAGACTGAATCAATCGCTCATTGAACAACCAGGGGGGGAGAATATTTTCCCCCGTGAGATTGAGGATCAGCTGATGTCGCACCCCTCGATCAGTGAAGCCAGTGTTATAGGCATTAAGGACGAGCGATACGGAGAGGTTGTTGGATGCGTCTTGAAAGCTGCTGTGGGGTGCCAGAGAATCTCGGATCCCGAAGTCAAACAATGGGTCAGTGACAGGCTCGGTCGTCACAAGACCCCCCATCATGTGTTCTGGTTGGGAGAGCGTGGAATGGGAGACGACTTTCCCAAGACTGGCAGTGGAAAGCACCAGAAGCACCTCCTACGGGAGATTGTGAATCGGCTGGTAAAAGAGCGGCATATTGGAGCCAGACTGTAGAGCACAGATTCTTATGTTGACCCACATCCTCTACTACCAGTAGTAGTAGCAGTACTTAGTAGGATAGATCAGAGCAAACCAATCACAGAGCATACATAAGCGGACCTCGCAGGGTCGGTCCGGGGTACGGAAGCCGGAGAGATCCGGGGACAAAGGCCGGTCCGGGGAACGGATTGCCAACAACTATATCCACAGCCAGAATCCGCGCAAAATAGCACATTGATAGTATGGATGAATCAAAGACAATGTCATCAGCCACACCATCCGTACGAATAGTCGAGGTCGGGCCCCGCGATGGACTCCAAAATATTCGGGACCCAGTGGACACGACGACCAAACTAGAGCTGATTAGTCGACTACGAGCAACAGGACTCCAGACCATCGAATTAACCTCAGTCGTCTCCCCTCGAGCAATTCCCCAGCTGGCAGACTGTCGGCAGGTCATGCAAAATCCAATGATTCAGCAATTATTACGCACCTCGGACCTCCGTCTGCCGATTCTTGTTCCGAACCTCAAAGGCTTTCAGATCGCCGTCCAGCATGGGGTCCGAGAGGTTGCGGTCTTTGTCAGCGCCACAGAGGGGTTTAGTCGAGCCAACATAAATGGCACCGTCGAAGAGGGACTAGCGAGAGCGAAGCAGGTGGCATCTGCTGCAGTGAACGCTAACATTGCGGTCCGAGGGTGAGTCGAGAAACGACCGAGAATCCAGCTTCCTCTAATGATTCCAGCTACGTATCGTGTATATTTGCAGACCCGTATGACGGCCCGACGCCGACATCCTCGGTGCTCCTTTGCGCAAGGACACTCCTTGAAGCTGGGTGCTACGAGGTGAGCCTCGGCGATACCTTGGGAGTGGGCACTCCTCTCGAGGTCCGTCGCCTCGTTACATATCTGAAGGATAATGACATACCGCTCGAGCAACTCGCAGGCCATTTCCATGATACTTACGGGGGAGCGGTAGCGAACGTGTGGGAGGCCTACAAGTGTGGTGTTCGGGTATTTGACAGCAGCGTGGCTGGGCTTGGTGGCTGCCCGTTTGCGCCTGGGGCAAAGGGTAATGTCGCGTCAGAGGATCTAGTCTATATGTTTCAGAAGTCTGGAGTCGATACGGGAGTAGACTTGTTGAAACTGGCGGAGACCGGGGCCTGGATATCGGAGCGACTGACTAAATCAAACTCCAGCCGCGCGGGACCAGCGTTGATCGTGAAGCACAAGTTGACTCAACAATCAGCGAATGCAACTAACCTGCAATGGATGGTCGTCGGAGAAACCGAAGGACTGCTCCTGTCCCGAAGCGGTGTGAATTTGAAAATCACTTTGAACCGTCCAAAGAATGGCAACGCTCTCTCTGCGGCATTGACAGATGAACTCACAACAGTAATCAAGAACGCCAACGCGGACCCATCAATCACCCGCATCGTTCTCACTGGCAGCGGGAAGTTCTTCTGCACAGGAATGAATCTGGCCAAAGGAAGTACCCCCGTGGCTCAGGGAGGGTCAACAAGTGATACACAATATGACAGGCTTGTCAATCTCTTGGAAGCTATCGACCAGAGTCCCAAAGTAACTATCGCGTGTCTGAACGGGCCTGCATTTGGTGGTGGCGTCGGGCTTGCGTTCGCCTGCGACATGCGACTGGCCGCTAAAGCCACGACCATGACCCTGAGCGAAGTAAAGCTAGGCTTGTGCCCAGCAACCATCTCCAAATATGTCATTCGAGAATGGGGGATTCCTTTCGCTCGAGAAGCCATGCTGTCTGCGCGGTCGGTGACAGCGGCTGAACTCAAGACACGAGGGCTCGTCATGGAGCTTGCAGAAGATGCCGAGCAGCTGTCGATGATGTTAGATGGCTTCCTTACCCGACTTAAAATCGCTTCATCAGCAGCATCCCGGATGTCGAAGGATTTGGTGAGGCTTGCATGGGTGCATGGTGGAAAGGATGAGCAGGCGAGGGGGGTCAAGGAGTTATTCGATGAGATGATGAAGCCTGGTGCGGACGGATCCTACGGTGTAAACAAGTTCCAGGCCAAACACCCGGTGGACTGGGACGCGTACCATCTGCAACGATCAAAGGCGCGGTTGTAGAAATACCACTATCGGCACAACGATGAACTACATCTGTGAATTCCTTGAAATCTGATAAGGCCTAGGGTTAGGATTATTAGGTAATTTAGATCTAGGTCTTTTCTAATTAATTCCTAGATCTATAGTCAGTTCTGATCTATGGAAACTTTCTTTATTAAAATTTTTATTATCGATTAAAACTATAGAAGGTGAAGATATCCTGGATATAGGGGTAAAACCCCTAGTAGATGGCCCTAAATTAAAGTTAAATATTTCTTTAGTTAGTGGTGTAGGTGGTAAAGTACCTGAAACTTTATTATCTTTTTCAATTTCAATTCGCTGATTTGAATTATTTAGATCTAGGAAATTTAGGTCTAGATCTTTAATCTCCAATTAGTTATATAAATCAGGATCTTAACCAGTTACATTAATAATTTGATGTAGTTCAATTTAATTTAGGGCTTCGGTATGTCGGTGCAATTCTCTCTCATCAGAATCCCCGATCTTCTGCTAATTTTGGGTATCAGGTATCGTTGCTGGCGTCGGTGGTTTATTGTACAAGATTACCAGTTACGATCTCTAGCGTCTATCGCAACAATTCCATGCCACTTCCTCGACAATCTTCATCTAAATCACAGTAGCATCAAGACTACCAGTAGGTCCTTGATCTAATTTGTTGGTCCTCCATTCAATGATGCTGTCGCTAGAAACGACCAACGGCAATCAGCGGCGAAGCTCGGCAGAAAATGATCTGTAATGCAGTGGAGGGAGCTTTGAGCTGATTTATTATGCTAAGAGTGACGTCTTGCTGGACGTACTCTTCCAGGATCCACGTATCCTTGTTGCAGACATCCCGTGCGCCGAGAGTTTAGACTTATAATCCCCAGTTCGAAAGCTCCTCACCCACTTTCTTGGGGTGCCAAGACATATATGTCCTTAAAGGATGAGCACGGCCTGAGCGAAGTTATAACGGCGCGGTTGGAATTGTGGTAGAAAGAATGGAAGGATCAGACAACCGATTTCTTGGAAGTTGCATTGTTGTTGTTCAATTTTAGTCACCACCTGTCAAAGGGCAAGTAGGCTGCAGAGCAGTTTGCCAAGGGTCCAATCGAGTTTGTGCAAGAGGCTGAGCCCCAGGGGAGGGATTGGTATAGGAACTAACAGGGATCTAGGGTGTACGATACCTTACAGAGGGTGAGCTAGGCAGATCGCAGCAAGTGGAACGTGAGACTCTGCGATGGATACGGAGACTTGTTGTGCTGTGACTAGCTTGAGCGACTAGGGGGTCTTGGGCAACTTAGCGGATTTTAAGGCTTACTTTGATAGTCTAGAAGCAGACAAAGATAAGGAGTCGTCGTCTCTGTGGCGCTATTTTGTGATACCCATTTTCAACACCAATGGACGAGCACATTAGGCTGGATCAAGTAGGGTAATTTCCTCCGCGAGAAGATGATTAATTCGAAAGGACATAGTAAATACAATGAATATCAGCTTGATTCCTCAACAACCATACTAACTACCGCAAACCAATTGTAAGCCTGGTTTGCCTGGTGGTCCTCTGCTCAAGAAATTTCACCACTTCTCGGCCAACTTTGCTTTCTTGCTTGCATGAGAGTAATCAACCAGGTCAAATAGATTACCGTTGGTGGTATTAGTGTCATTACGGCCGAGCGAGCCTAGGCCAAAATTCTGAATGGCACCGCGCAGCATGCCGTAAAGAGTTAAATAGCTATCATCGGTCGTGTTAGGGGTAATGCCAGCCCCGAAGAGGATCGTGGTGATGTGATTGTCGTTGTTGGGAGACGCATCGTCGTCGTTCCACCAGGTAGCCTCGTCGAAGGTGGCAACCACCAGAGTGCCTTGAGCCTCTAGCTCGGGTAGGTACAGGTCCAAGAATGAGTTGAGCCACTCACCGCCAGTGTTCGGCTGGTTAAAGTAGTTACTGTCCGAGGTGGGGTCATGGGCGTTGTGAAGCATATCCGGTACGTAGAACGAATACTCTGGCAGAGTGTGTGACATGACGTGATCAGTAAAGGTGTTATTCGCGCTGTAGATCTTGCTGCAGCGATCGTATCTGCTCGTATAGGAACTAAATAGCAGGGCCGGAACATCAAGGCGGCGATACACCTGAGACCACCAGGTCGGGTTGGTGTTATCGATAGGACCATTGAACATGTAGTTGTTGCAGTCATTGGGACCCCGGTGAGTGGCAATAGGATTGTACCACTCGGCGTAGGTACCATAAGAGACGCCCTTGTCCTCGAGAAGATCGTAGATGGTAGTGGCGTTCACATGGTAGAAATCCTCATGGGCCATACCGAAGAAATCCCCGGCGACGATCGCAGCATAGTTGGGCAGGGACGGGTGGGTAATAGCGTAGCTCCTCCTGAGCAGTTTACCACGGGTAGCCAGCAATTTCCAGTAGGCTTGGCCCATGGTCCAGTCGTAGACCTCGTTCTCGAAGATGATATGAAGAATTTTCTTGAACTTGCCCTCGCACTGATTGTCTGCGCAAGCATTGTTCGGCGAGGGGGAAGTCTTGAACAGCTTGGAGCTATTTATCGTCTTGGGAGTCCCTTCGTTGATCAGGAAGAAAGGAAACTTGCCAGTCGCACCGTCGGGAATGAGATAGCTGTCCTTGGCGCTGTAACCAGTGAAGTTGCTACCGCTGACGGTGTCATTGTTCACCGACCATGAGTAGTAGCCGTGGTAATGCTCTGGTTCGAAGGGAGGTTTATAAGAGAAGGGATAGCTTGCCACGGCTGGGTCATCTTGCTTAAAGACGTTGCCGCCAGTGTAGGGCACTTCATTAGCGGGAAGAGCATACTGGGCAGTCGCCGTCGAGACGAGGGCCAGAACTGAAGCCACGTTACCCAGACAGGGCATCCTTGCTAGCGGGGAGATTTGACAGAGTCTTCAAAGAAAGAGCAGTGGCAGAATGCAGCTCTCTCTGTAAGGCAATGGGGGATCGATAAGGTCATAAGTCCTATCTTTATACTTCGTACCCTGTTCACGGAGATTGTACCACGCATCCGGCGTCTTGGTATTTTCGTGGAAACGGGCTCTCGGCGCCGATTTCGTGGACCCCTTCTGCCTGGCTGCAGCCCGGTGATGCAATTACAATATTGCGCTCAGCACGTGGCACTGATAGCGCCGTCGCTCGATTATTCTGGCCTAGGTCAGAGGCGTGCATGGGCTAAGCTTTCTGGCTCAGCTTTGGATGTTGGGGTCCAAGCCACTACCGGCCGCCATCCAAAGCCACACGTGTGCTCGGCGAGACTTCTGGCTTGCGACCACTTCCAAGAGAGCCCACCTGACAGAAATCATCATGAAGAAGCCTAATTTCCACTATCCCCAAATTTAAAGAAGGGAGGGAATGTTTCGGCCACTAACACCATCTTGGGAGGTCATCCGGCGAACGACCCCCACACTACTGCCATGTCGGGTTCTTCTTGGGTTAGCTTGCCAGGGAGCCAAGCTTCGGTCACGTTGCTCAAGCCTTGGTCAAGCTTTGGTCAAGCTTTCTACCACACCCGCGTGAGTCTGCCCACTTTCAGGAACAACCTCTTTGCGACCATCCAACGGTTCCTCCACGTGGCACGCGCTCCTCTCGACAGGCACGAGTGCGGCTTCCGTGCGACACGTGAAAGCGATGCAACCTGCCATTGGCTCCTGCAAAATTCCGAGGCTTTTCCAGAATGCCAAACCCGGAAACTTGTCGTCGTCTATTAACTCTATTTCGGTCAATGTACTTGCCTTGCCACCCGGTCCCTGGATATCGGCGCATGAAACGACTCGATCTAAGAACAAGGTCGCAAAGTCCTCCGAAGGAGATCATCTTTTTTTTTCCAGACTAGGTTTGTCCCTCGCGGTTCATAAATAAACGCAGGGACACCTCACTTTGCAAAATAGATCTACTGCGAGCACTGTTACGGAATTCAACTTTTGCTTCCAAAATGCCAGTCGGTTCTTGGATTGCTCTGGCCCTGGGGCTTGCCGTGGCTACTTCGGCCGCCCCCAACTCCATCGAGGCGCCAATTGGTGCCGCTAAACTCACAGTTGCTCTGCTCGGAGGTAAGACATCTCGTTCTTTTGCCAACGACACATCATGGCTATAAACAAAGATGAGAGACGGAGATTAACGTTACGATCATCTTGATTGTATAGACTATGGCTGGACTGGCTGGCAGCCTCTGCCTCTGGACTTTTGTAATAATGTCTTGCCTAGACTCAAGGCGGACGGTGTCGATATCCCTCGCGAGATACAGAACGATTGCGATGCTGGTGACCGCAACGCTATATCGAATGCTACAATCGAAGAGAGTAAGTCCTCATAGTGATTCATTCAGAACCCGGGGAGGACAAAAGGAGAAACATTAACGTCGTCTGTAGCCAAGACTGCCCAGTATATCGAGCAGGTGTGTCTTATGAAGAACTGTTCCGCCTTCGTGTCCGTCGGCGACAACTTTTACGACAGCGGTGTCGACTTTACCTCGATCGGTATTCAGCGCTTCTATGAGGGATGGCGTGATATGTATGTGGGTGAGGCGTTTGATGGCAAGCCCTGGTACCAGGCTATTGGTAACCATGACGTTGTCGTGGGTAAAGCCGGTGTTGAATTCCAAACTCATATTGCCCCCTTGATGGATGATCGCTGGTTCTTCGGCCACGATAAGCTGCCTTACTATACCTATGATCTCAAGGGCTCCAACTGGACTGCAACCTTTGCTGTTGTCGATTCGGATTGCTTTATCAACGATTACCAGAAGAGCACATCCGTCTACAACACCGACTACGTCATCGAGTGTCACAAGGACACCCAGACGCAGATTGAATTCCTGCGTAAGTCCTTCGAGGAGTCTGACGCTACCTGGAAGATCCTCCAGATCCACCATGGTTACATCTCTTCCTCGGGCAACTACACGGAGCTAGCCCCACTAATGGATATCGTGCGCGAGCACAAAGGTGTGGTCATCAATGGTCACGATCACTGTATGGCTCACTACCAGTATCAGGGCTTAGACTTCGTGCTCACTGGTGGTGCCGGTTACGCCGAGGCTGGCGACTGCAACTTTGGCGTGCCTCTCGGCCCTTTCGCCAAGTGGCTCGGCGCTGACGCCCAGCAGGCTGCGAATGGCTTTGTCACTCTTGATATTACCTCCGAGTCCTTGCAGTTCGAGTACTACGCCCGTGACATGCAGCTGAAGGGTACTGACTACTACCCTGTGGCCAATGACATTAAGCCTTCGTACAGCTTCACCGTCACCGAACACGCCGCTTAAAACACGAATCAGAGGATTGGAAAGCGCTTCTAGGTCAACGGTTTCTTCAGAGAAAAGACAGAGTGTACAATATGTGAAGTGGTGAAGTGGTGCAGGTAAAACGGCGTATATAGCGTAGATTCATGTTAGATAGTAACTAGCTAATAACAGTGAAATAAGTTAGCCTTTAATAGACTGTGGCAAGATCCGCCATGTCCATGGATATCCGCAATCCACATCCGTAAATTGTGGATTTG